AGATGGTATGCGACACATGTTGGTCTGTTCCATCACAGTAACAAAACTGATACTATTTATGCAAACACTGTCTATCATTGGTGTTTCCAAACCATGATGTATTTTGTTAGATATTTGCCATAAGGTACATAACCCTATATCTGTTTCTTTAGCTAACTTCCAGTCTGCCAGTGTCATCGCTAGAAGTGTTTGTTTTCATGGATTCTCTAATTATGGCGGAATGGCTAATACTTAATGGGCTATGGGCTAATGTTTTAATATCGTTGTGAGTTGATGTAGTGGTATTGCTATAGCTGAGTATTGTTTGACAAATCGTCGGTAATATTATGCAAACCCCAAAATATTGTGTTGGCATTAGTTCTTTCGTATCAACCAATTTGCCAGTGCTTCCGTTCGCGTTGGGATCTGCTTTGACTTGCTTCGATAAACAATGTGTCCAAAAAACGTCACTAACGAGTTGGCATGTTGTTACTTCTTAACTTCTCTTGAATTCTTTCTATATGTGTTTTCAAAAACATTGAGTTTTTAAACTTTATATTCTTTGCAGATTGAGGTTGTTCTCTGAACTTTCTAACCAAAGCCAAAGTAAATGATCATAAACTATTCGAATTGTTAATCTGACATTTACCTTGTTAATCTGACATTTACCTTGTTAATCTGACATTTACCTTGTTAATCTGACATTTACCTTTTCGTATAATGCAAGTGGAATCCTTTGATAAAGCTGCTTCACTAGTTTCTCATTGTTGAGGTTAATATCATGCTGTACAAGACGTACCTAAATCAATTTCTGAATTAAAGATTGATTCATAATTTTGCTTATTTGTGAATTAGTTGTTATAGTATCAAAATCCCTGGTAATGATAATTTTCTTCACTGCATTGTAACCTCGTGTTCGTCATGTTATTGTTTGCTACCTTTTGATGGACAAATCACATCCCTGCTGGTTTGTGCTGGTGTGTAATTGCCACATGGAAAAGTACGGTTATTTTCTTTAGTCACATGGCCCTTCCTTTCTTAACTACGATTTTATTCCGTATTCACTTCTAGATCTATTTCGCCATAATCAACCACGTCACATTTAATGTTTTGTTATTATCATCTCTTTCGCTTTTTAACTTGGTGATTATTACCATTGAGTACCTCAAATTTGGGATATTTAACGCCATTTCTCTGCCTTCATCATGCAAAAGAAAAGTTCTATCCCGAAGTGGATATATGATTTGGGCAAGTCGTTTCTCATCCAAACTGCACATTGCTTTTATTAGTACAAACTCAAAGAGATCTGTACATTCCTCTCTAAAATAAAGACTTCCAAAGTTAGATGACAAAGAGCATGTGACAGTAAGTATATGTACAGCAATAAAAAAAACAGTCATCATTTAGGGATATCGATGCTCTGCACCTAATTTGAATATTTGACCAAAATCTTAATTTACGTTATAAAAATTAATTTTAAAGAATGATTTGAAACACTAAAAATTTCCAGCAATCAACATATGATATATCAAACCAATTGGCCTGATATGTAGAATATGACTAAATAAATATTTGGATGCTCCTACATTTTTAGAATTTTAATGACAATTCGGGAAAAATTCAAAAATGCTTTTCTTCAGCATTTTTTAAAATTACGAACATCATCTAAATATCTAAATAACATATATGAAATTAAAAGGATTGAGTATGACCGAATAATAAAAATTAACATTAGTTCTTTAATTGACAAAATCAGAATATTCTATAGTAGAACAGTCTTGTTTGATTAACATAGTCTAACAATACAACACAATATATTAAGGTAGCGGGACTATTATTTGCATACTTGTTTTCATCTTCTAATTGTGACTAAATGACTACAAATAGACCCGGGAAAGTATATATTTTTAGAATCGCCAGACTTCAAGCTTTTCACAAGTGTATTTTGCATGCCCGTATGTAAAAAAATAATTACGCATTCATGCTGGCGATAAGAAGTATTTTTTTCACTTTTCCTAGTTGTTCAATAGTCTGGTAAATTGAATGTGTCTGGTCAGTTTTATTCAAGCAACGCGTTTTAAAAAAATAGTGTGCTGAATTTCAATTACTGTTTTAGTCACATTACCCCAAACTGAAATCACAACTCGTTGGTAAATAATCGATGAAATAGTTTGTCTGGACACATTCAAGTTCCTCTCATTGTCACCTTAAAGCTGTGAAAATTTGGTGTTAATCCGACGACAATAAGTATACGTTATTTTTTGTTAAAGACCTTGTATTTTGAAAAACATAAACTCCTAGAAAACGTCCATGGAGTAACAGCAAAGAATATTTGTGTATATTCTATCCTTATCTTAAGGTGCGTTGATACTAAAAACACTTGTCATTTCAAAATGTGGGGAGATGTATTTAATAACTTTAGTTATTGAAATAAAGGGAAGACAGAACAACAGATACAAAGCCACCCTTTTCAGTATACAAGACGGACATGCACACATCATCTAGACCACGCAGACCACTATATTGTATTCGAAGCAAATTAACACTGATCATGTTAATTGGGTAGGTCATGGCGATTGTGGGTTTGACTCTTACGTGAGGCTACTTGAAATCTTAAACTTAAAATCTGTTTTCCATTTCATAGTTGATTCTTCTTGTAAACGTTTATGCTCACATTTACTTGGAATTAAATATTTTTATTTTGTTGGAAAATAGCTGCGTCTCTGGTAACCAGAAAAGTATCCATAGCAACAAGATTCAACTGCCTGTCAATCTAAACATTTTGTTGCATATTTGAAAAAAAGTGCTAGCAATATCATCGATACAAACTGTAACATGTCACATGACTTATTGTGCCATAACAGGAACTAATCTACCAAGAATGAGCATAATTGTTTGGAAACATAACCACATTCATCTTGGAAAAAAAAATTATTTAAGATTATCACATTTTGGCTTCCATCTTGAATTTAAAAAAAAAAAAACTTGAAAGCGATCGATTTTGCACACTTCTAGTATTCTCTGCAATCTGATGTTGTCGTTGCAGATTGATATAATATACTAACCAAAGCAATATGAAATTTGGCTGCAACTTGATTTTTTTTACCACTGAATACATTGATCTGAAATTTGGTTTATAGCATTCACATCTAACGCACATTAAAGTTTATTAGTATTGTTGATCACATTCTCAACCGTTTTTCACTGATGCTAAAGTTATATAATTAGTTAGAAATTTGCCACGTTGCATCTCTATACCGTACTTGTTAATACGGTCAGCTTAAAATAATTCGGATAAGTCACTTGGTTTGGCCGCCATACATCAAATATGTGTTTCTCATGAATATTGCATGTATGGCTTCAACCGATCACCTTAATATGTTGCATATAACATGCATATTCAAAGCTTTATACGAGTTAAATGAAATAATTTGTATTTCAGTCACATTGTTTTGCAAAATTTAGTGTTGGCTTAAATGTGATATCTTCACAACAACTGCATGCACAGACGGCTTATGTATGGCACTGCACATAGAATAACCTGTCATTTGATCTTAAATGCATACCATCGTGATACACTAGATCGTTTTTGCTTGCACCAAGCTGATGAGCAGATTTTTGTCATCTTCTTCCGCTGTTTCCTTGTCGCACTGAAACTTGAAAACGATTTCTGTAACGTCTAAAGAACACTGGGGACTTAGATTAGTCGACTGGTTTGGCAAGCATCTCTGATTTAAGTTAACCTGGAAGTAGCCATTTTGAACTATTTCTGAGGGTCTAGGCATTTTAATTCTTATGTACTAGCACTATTGATATGTGGACTTTCTGTTGAAATAGATAGTATAAATGAAACACATTAGTAGGGTGACTTCTTATACTATGTTTTTTCTACGAAAAATGACTTGAAAATCATCTTCTTGAGAACCACCTAATACATTGATCATCCCATTATTTTGAAACTTGCCATGTTGCATGTACAAACAGAGTTCCCTCGAAAAATAATCAACAAATTTAGATCTTTAATTTTCGCCAAAAACATAGGACATTTATTTGTCAAGCGATCAACTGAATATTTGGCATGTAGCATACATATATTTCATCAGTCACGTGGCGTGGCCGCCATCTTGGATTTTGACAAATAATATGTTTGGGCTATTTGTTTTTCATGAGTGCTGTAACCGATCAAGTTGATATTTTAGATGTATGCATGACCATGGGTGAATATTAAGGTACACTTTACTGTTTACTTTCAAACTTAGACCCGCCGAAGCTGCTCTCCAGCTTTATTTTGCGTTCTCTCTAATTAAACAACCAAAGGATCCATTACTATTATAATAATTCATGGAAATGTGACATTCCGTCACTCTTATTCGAAGTAATCTTAGTTTGGTATCCATTTTTGTTTGTTAATTATTCAGAGTTCAGAGAACAACCTGAATCTGCAAAGAATATAAAGTTTAAAAACTCAATGTTTTTGAAAACACATACAGAAATTACATTCCATTTACTATACCCGTGAATTCGGAATTATAGATAAAGTATTTGTTTTATGTTTTGAATAGTTTACACTTTTAGTAGGTGTTCTTTTCAATTGTTTCTGTTCAAGATTTTAAGAATACTGACGGTGCTGGCCATTTGGAAATCTGTTAATATAAGTAAATATTGTGTTGAATACCGAGAAATAAAACACACATTTGCGAATATGAATGATCACTGGCCTCGATTACTGCCATATAAAATATGACCAAAGAACCTTAATTCAGTAGACGTTCAATTGGTGAATTCGATTGTTAAGTGTTACGTAAACATAAGCTGTGTGCAATTTCTCACACACACATAACTGCATGCATGCTTAATTATATTTTAATCTACGAATCTTAGCTATCAATATACATAATATTAACATTTATCCAGATATTCGAAACATTGATAGTTTGTTTATATATATATACAATTGAAATGTAAGTTCATGAAATATTACAGTGAACTCGTCCATTCAGTTGAAAGAACAATTTGTCTCATCATAGTTCTGCACAACTGAAAAAAAAGGAAAAGAAATTTTAAGATCATTGCAACAATATATGTTCCAATAGTGAACAAATATATAAATTGAGTCTGTAAAACTAGCGTAAACTTGATAATGTACCATTCGTATTTATCAAGCCAATTTTTCACATGCACATAATGATAAGCTACGCCGTCCACGTCATTCTCGAGACGGCAATAACGATATAAAATACGCGTCCGTCAATACCCCCGCTGTACTGTCTTTGCAAATACTTTGCGTTATCCTCGTAATAACCTCATATTATTATATTGCTAAATAATCAGTTTTGTAATCATGTGGCGGCCTTCTAAAGTTGATACGCAATGTCATGTTAACGAACAGAGCACCTTGATCAAAACAGTGACAGTGACAATGACAATGTTTCAATCTGGGGCTCAGTATCACTACCGGTGTTGTTACAATGGTTAAGTAAAATGTGGGTATTTTGAATACTGTATCAGTAATTAATGAACATTCCAAAATGTTAGAAATTTGAATGAATGTTGATTGATTTACTAAAATGAGAATAATATACGTACTCTGCAAAACCCTCAGCAAAAACCTGGACATCTCCAGTATAGTCGTCAATGGGATCGCCATCACTATCCCCACATATGCCTTCTATGTTGAGTTCATTTAAAGGTTTCTTAATCTCAATATGTATGGCGTGATGTGGAAGCCATAGCACGGCAACATCGATGTTACCATCTTCTTCAGTGCTCAAAGAGAATTTCCATGTTTTGTCTTCAAACTGATGAAGCGTAAATACACCGATCACATCATCTGGCAAAGTTGGAATCTGCGGTGCGCCATCCAACTGTAACAGCAAATAACCCCATTTAAAAAAGTGTTAATGTTTGCATTTCACATAATTAATAAATATGTTCATATTTTATTTCGGAAATATATAATCTAATAACTTGTGTCATACAAGATTTTAATTTGATTGACCAAAATATTTTTAGTCAAGTTCCAAAATTAAGCAAAGCATAACCTAGAAAACACTAGTATTAATTGATGTATTTGAAAAATCTGTTCTGTGTAATAGAGGAACATAGACAATTAAATTAGAGTAGTTTTTGATCGTTTGCGTAAATTACACATACTAATTTCAAATCGTTGAAAACTCCAGATAATCTAAAACGCACGCTGTTATGCAAATATATTCATAGAAATCAAAGTGACTAGTTACTGGCGTACTGTCTTCCAGTTTTTGAGTTTGTTACATTAATGATATAATGTGCACCAAGATTCTCATCTGAAACAGACAAACATACAGACGGATGGGCAGACACAGGCAGAAACATAATGAACTATATATACTTATGTGTGATCAATATAAACTATATGTACTCACGCGTATTTCAACAGGGGTTTCGCCATCATTCACACCAACTTCTAACTCAGTCACAGTTTCTGTGTCACGTTTTGATTTTTTGTTACCTTTGCCAACTGGAGGTCCTATACCTTTTCCATTGTCGGCGTTATTTTTCTGACTATTGTTTTCAGCACCCCGGCCTTTAGTATCAGTAACTATTATTCTTAAACTATTGATTCGTAACCGACCATCACTCTCAGTATAGTCTACTTCGACTTGAATTCTTCTGCCATTGTGGGTTATAGAAGTTAGCTGATAGTAACATTCACCTCCAACAACAGTAAATCGTCTGCCATCAAATGATCTACAATGCGGATCACCCCAACAGCTACATATATTCCATTGCGGTTCTGCATGAATTAAAGAAGTACACTGATCACAATGTAATATATATATATATGATATGAGTTTTATATCGAGCGCGACGACCACCAGCCTTTAACTAGCCCTCTGCTTTTATTTTTGTTTTTAGTATTTTTACTGTTAGGTTACGTAGGAGACGTTCGTGGAAGTCCTCTGTGCTGAGCTCCTATAACTTTTAGATATGTTGTTACTAAAAATACAAATTCCAAAAATACTAAATTCAAACACAAAATGTGTTGATTTGTCTGTAAATATACTAGCATTCATATTCTGAATAGACTGATCGACGATAGATTTATTATTGCTATTTGGCGTGCCCATGAATACTGTCAACTGTTTTTTCAAGTATCTTTGGTGGTTCTCTTTCCGATTTGTTAATTTTTTGGAGAATATCTACAATTCCTAAATTTTAGTGGAAATAATATTTTCAACTTCTTTTTTAAAGTTGCTGGCCCGATTGCGTTGATGTTTTATATATAATTACAGTGAGTGAACCACAGCTATATATTTTGTGATGATACTTATCGAATTGCCACAATAATGTATATGTAGGTACCTTTAGTGGTTCGTTGTCTGATTTGTTGAATTCGTTGCAATACCGTCAATACTCTAATTTAAGTAAATATTTGGATCTACAATAATAACTTTTTACGCTAATTTCCTTTGATAGCGGACATATTTGTTCAGCATTTTCACAGTTCGATCAATTCGCATGTAAGGTAATGATAGAGTGGCATAAGCATATGTACTGTACCTTGGACTCTTACCAGACTACGATCACGAAACAGCACGTTAATCAACGATACCGTCCTCTTAGGCGTACCCAAAATAAACTTTTAAAATAGCCATTTAATTATGCCAAGAATGATATGTGTAAATTCAAAGAAATACACATGGTTTATTGCGCGTTTCTCTAATTCTAAATTAATAGAGCAAGTAACGAGTGCTCTATGGCTATTCATGCTGTTTACGTTTTAGCTTAAATGAATGTACTACCAAAGCTTCAGTCACATATAGATAGATAGATTGGATGAGGTACTGTACGGAAACGATTAGTTTAACGTACATATCTATGCATATTAAGTAGGTAATTTTCATATTATCACATTGCAGCCTGCGTATAAGAAAATTCTCAAACACGTCAGAACGAATTTGGGCCAAATTTGCTGTATTGGTGACATAGGTACCCATGTATTACGTATATGCACCATATGTGTATTGAACCACGTGGCAAGAGGATCGTTACATTTTCACTATCGGCTTTTGAATTGTATATTTTAATCAAATTTTAGCTAAGTATATAATATCTTGTTCTCAGGATGACATTTAACCTAAATAATTAAGTTATTAATTTAAAAAGTTCAAATTGTTTTCATTTCAGTAATGGAGTCTTCCCCACATAAATTCACAAGCTAAGATTCCACAAATATAGCAGGCATACTAATTCAATTAGCGCATTTTGCTTTGAATGTTCAAAAGTTCAAAAAATTGCAATCCATGATAATTTTATGTACAGTGATTACTATTTAATTTGAATATTATTGTAACTATGAAGTTTACTAATTTGCATACAAACGATCTATTGTTACAGTAACAAATGAACGCACAGAACAAAGCATGCTACCGTGATTGGTATAAATAGTCCACAATTTTAACTGGCGATTTGTTTGCACTACGTATTAATGTAAAACATATGAATCTATAGAGATAATGTCCTAAAAAGCCATTTTGCAATAAAAGTAGTATTCTCGACCGCTGTTGAATGTGTCCAATCAAAAACATATAGAGTTCGCAGCACCTAGAATGAACAATAGGCGTTTAAAATTTATTTCAGAAGTAGACTTATTCCTATCGCGTCCGAGTTTGGAACTAATAGATATTTTAGGCAAGTAATGAATCATATGTTTAATAGTGTTTTTCACAATTATTAGCAGAAATTAACAAGAGAAAGGGCGAAGATAGCCTATGCATTTTATAGTCAATATATTTGATGTTCGTTGACGTCACGTACGGGCGTTCAGAGAGAAGTTAAATTTTTACTACTTGACAATTGAGATTATTATTTCATAAAAGGAACATAATGAATTATGGGATTTCGAATAACAGGTAAATAATACAATCATATATCAGAGATTCATTGGTGAGTATTCGTTTCGATATATTTATTTTTATTTATCTTTTCCAATTTAGTATTTTGAACCTGTAGTAATTAAATTTTGCGGTAAGTGAAAAAACATTGACACAATACGTTAACGTATTAACGAAAACTTTTAAATACATTGTCAAATACATATCCATTTTCTTATTTTCGAGATATGTTATAGCGGCCAGGATGATCGTTATCGATTGAAAATTGCGGCGGCGCATATCAACTTAGTAGCTTATATCAATCCGACTTGTCGATCTTTTTAGGCACCGTGCGATGTAATGTTAATCCGTTATTGGTATTTACTATGTGATGTTATCAACAGCCTGTCACACTGGATCTATTTAACATTAGCGCAAACATATATGTGTGGGGGGGGTGTATGTGTGTGTGTGTGTGTGGGGGGGGGGTGTTCGTATAGCACAGTTTTTTTATAGCACAGTATTTTAATGGGGTTGTTGGGATCTAAAGCGCTATAGATATGTGTGTTTATAATAGCATTACAAATGTTGAGATACTCAATAACCCATTGCATTATCAGTTCTCAATTCAGATATGTGTTTTTTGTTGTTTTAATTTCCATGTTTTGTCGAAAAATATGACATATTTTCTAACATTTGTCCTTTTAAATAACTAAGACTATTCTAATATATGTATACTAATACAGTGAGTGTGCGTTCTACATTACATTCAATTGCGTGAATTAATATTTCGCGCCAAGACAGTATTACAGTCCAACGTTGTGTACAGCTGTGCATATTTGTTCAGCAAATTATTTTAATTCGAATTATAGTTGATATATTAGTTTTTAGTCAATTGTTCACCCAAGGTAAGCCAAATCTATTATTATAATTCTTGTTATCTACTATTGGAGGATTTACAATTTACAGTTTCAGCCTGGTAGCCCAAATCTTATAGTTTCGATTCCTAGCACACCTAAAAGACTAAAACTCAATGATATTATTATTCACAATATGCAAATTAATGTTAGGAATGTTAGTATAACTATTATTACGCTACATTTTGACTCTTTATTTGAATAAATTCATTTGCATATGCTGAAATTAATATCATAAATAAACATTGCTTCATGGTTATATTTGACTGTACAAACTAAGACAAACCATCCAATAATTAAACAATTATTAGTCAATTTAATAATCTGGCCCTTTTTTTACTATTGATTATCGAGCTCCGCCTCGCTATGACGTCATAGTTGATGCTCTGAGCATAGCGATATGGTATTGATTATGGATTATATAAATAATATAATAAACTTTTCACAATCTCTTGCAGATGCGTGCAATCCAAATAATCAACCAGTCAAACTAGGAACGTAGATTAATAAAACTATGGTGCATATATTTATATGGTAGTTAATATTTGTTTCAAAAAGTTGTACACTTTATTGACGAAGCATTGTTTTAATAATGAGAACGATTGTCTAAGTATATCTCCAATAGAAAAGAAAAAAGAAGCTAAGAAGGTATAATACCGGAGACATGCATTTTAGTTGGGTTTGGATACAAAAAAGGCATAAATATGAAAAATAACAAATAGAAATATATTAGATTGCAAGTGCAATAATCATTTAATTAATCTTATATTTGTTGATACTAGATTAGTATATTATCCACTCTCAATTAGTGACCATACACTACATATTTATTCAGAAACAACCTGGTCACATGATCAGTGATTTGCATATCCAAGTTAATAGCAAATTATGCATGTAGCAATACATGTTCATAACAATTTGTGATCACATAAAAAAAATAATAGATTTGTATCCATGTTGTGTTTTGGCAATATTACTTTATCACAAGCATGAATAACATTTCTCCTAATTGCAACAGGAACTGTTTCATTAACAATTCACGTCATGGATTAACGCATAACACGATATAAAACGAGAGCTATTGGAAAAGAGGGAATAAATTGCCGCCTTGCCAGCATTTCCTCATTATTTACTTCTGTAAATCACCTTTATTCAGACATGACATACTGAGACAAATAATAGATAGTTTAGAACTTCAAATACAAATACATCAAGGCGTAAAACCATTTTTTTACACATGTGTTGAAATTAATTAGAAAGTTCTGTGCTAGTATAATAATTTTCTCCAAACGTACATTTCTTTTTAAATATTACTTAGATTTCATAATTTTCTGAATACCTACCTTCGGTCGGCACTTCCGGCGGCATACAGTACAGTTCATTAGTCAGGTTGCCATCATGACAACAATAACGACATTTGGTTACGACAGCGAGAGGGGGGTAATCACAGTTATTGGCCTTAGGTTCATTCTGGCTTTCCTGGACACAAGCCTGGTGTATAAATTTATATATATAAATAATATAATAGCAGGCAAGAACTGGTGAGCGAGCGCAAGAGCGTACTTTATTGATTTACTAAAAATAGAACTGACGTAACCATAGAGCATGCGCACACAAATATATAATGTGAATATGGTGGGTAAAATTTATCGCTAGAAAAGTACCGTGTAACGCGAAAGGTGAAGAAACACTTTGTGTTAACGCGATATTGTATGCATTTCTGCATACTACGTAAAAAGAAAACTCACCTCAATCTCCTGGCACTCTGAGACAAATACTAGTTTCCCTTCGTTCGTTGTGAAAAGTTGGGACATACATTCGTGCTGAGGTTAAGAAAAGATTACACTTAACACTTACACAAAATACCATGTTACATGGTGATACATACTATTGTATTGTGTAATATTAATCTGTGCTATTGTAACAAAGTTATTTGATAACTATATATATTCATTTTACAAACAATTGATTCAAGTGAAGAATACTTACTCTAACTGGATTGCACATTTCCCTCTCATCCTTGCTTATACACTCACTGAAGCTAAGTTT